ACCATTGTCTTTGGGTGTGATCAATACGCTGCCATAGTATCTATTTGTAGCTGGGGATCATGAGTTCAGGTGGGGACCTGGGCAGGGAGTCAGTGATGTGCACTCTTGATGAGGCTATCTATGAATCTCTGAAGCACACCAAGCCCTGCAGATCTATTATGAAGTACATTGTGATGGTCTCCGGTGTGATGGTTCTGTTCTGTAGTGGCCCCTTGGGGCAACAGGATCTACAATAGATTACAACTTTGACCACAGATTCTTCACCCCTCCCCCTGCTCCCCACTCCATCGCACAGTGGAGTCTATTTCTTTATCCCTTGAATCTGGGTTTGATCATGAGACTAGCTTTGCCCAATGGGACATTAGCAAACATGATGAAGAGGCTTAAAAAGTACTTATGTACTGGGACTTGCCCTTTTGCTGTACTTGGAGCCCTGATATCACCAGGTAAACAAGGCAGAGTTAGTCAGCTGGAGGATGAGAGAGCACATTGAGGAGAACCAAGGCATCCAGCCTGACAACCTTCCTCATGCCAGTCATGTGAATGGGGCCATCCTGGATCATCCAGCCAACAGCCAACCCAGCAGATAGCCACAGACACAGGTGAGACCCTTTTAAAATTTGCACCTGATGCAAATGCCTCACTTACCTCACTCTACTCCCAGTCTTCAGCAAAACTCCTTTCTTTTTCTGAGAAGCTCTCTCAGGAGGCTGTGTACATGGTCAGTATTCTGAGTGCTGAGTAACCCATGATGCCCATATGTAATGCTTATGGTGGTATCAGAGATTTGGTTTCTCTAAGAGGTCCAAGAGACAACAGAATTGAGAGTTTTCAACTAGATGAGACCAAGAACCAGCAGGATGCCTGTAGGTGACCAGAAGCACCAGGCATGAACTCTGCCATGTTTTAAGGTCTTCCAGTGGTGGATGGGAAACCCTGGTGGCATAATGGTTAAGAACTATGGCTGCTAACCAAAAGGTCGGTAGTTCAGATCCACTAGGTGCTCCTTGGAAACCCTATGGGGCAGTTCTACTCTGTCCTATAGGGTCGCTATGAGTTGGAATCGACTCGACCGCAACGGGTTTGGTTTCTTTGATTTAATGGTGGATGCCTATCTATATTGTCTATTGTCATTGGTATTGAATGACTGGGTCTGTAGCTGGGTCCAGTGGGACAGTGCCCAGTTCATAAAATTCCCTCAGGTAGCCTAATATGCCAAGATGTAGACCTATATGTAGAATGACACTAACTATACAAAGTTATACTAATATCCAGAATATTTCCTGGTTCAAATGGGACTTAGAATAAGAGACAGTAGAGGATGAAGCCCAATACATTCCTTTTTCATGGATGGAGTCTATGCTTTTTTGCTCCATGAGCTTGCTGCACACCAGCTCCTCCAAGGTCACACACAGGAGGGGGGCAACCCCCACTACCTGCATGAGCCTCAGGGGCAGTCAAAGGAGAGCCTGGCTAGGTTTGGCCAGGTCTTTAATCATGCTTGTAACTACGTGCAGAAAAAGGTCAATGAACTGAATCAAGCTGGTTCAGGAGCCTGGGCCAATTCATCATCCTTGGTGCCAACCGACCTTCTTGGAACTGTGTCCAGAGATAGAATTGTTCCAGTTAAGCTGCCAAGTCTCATGCATGCTGGCTACATAAAGTCCTTCCTGCTCTCCCCATACCCAAGGCAATGAATTACTGTACCCAGAGAAGGGTCTTATACCACTTATGAAGCCTACAAACCCCTAGAAAGGACTACCAGGTGTCACGCAGAGAACCTGTTCATTCTCCAGACTTCCTTAAAAGACATTCATCCTTAATGCCTGTCTAGGATGTATTCATATTATCATCATCTTCTTCTTCATCATTATCATCATCATCACATATACCAGGTACAGTTCTAAGTGCTTTTGCAGATATTTATGCATCTGATCCTCCATAAAAATCCCCATGAGATGGGGGCTGTTATTATACCCATTTTTTAGCTGAGGAATCTAAGGCACAGAAAGATTTAAGTAACTTGCCCAAGGTCACACAGATTTGAAACCAGAAATACTGGCTCCATAGTTTGTGATTTTAACCACTATACAATACTGCTTCTCTAGTTTTCCTCTGAGGAACCACCTCTCTCCCACTCTCAAACCATGGGGTGGGCATGTGGGCCCTCATCTCCAGGAGTAAGCACATGACCAGGCCTGCCCAATCAACATAATCCATCCTTCCAGCTACATGTGACCTGTGATCCAATGAGACTTTAGCTCTTGTCACTGGGGTTGCAACAGCCAGGGACAGATTAACCAGTAAACACAGTATGCACCAGATTGCACTGAGCAAGGTAGTCATGGGCTTAATTGTATTTACTTGCTAATCTGTGGTGAGCAAATTCACATGGATTTGACCACATCGTTGATGTGGTGGGGGACAGGTGAAATTGTGCACTGCAGATTGGTGGGAAGGCACAATTGGGCCTGTGCATACCTTGCTTATTGGGTAATCTGGCCCTGGCGACAGTTATCTTGCTCCCATAGGAGAAAAGCTTGCCTGAAAATGAAACCGAGACAGAGGAAGGCTGAGCCAAGAAATGGAGAAAGAGATTCCTGGGGACCTCATTTAAGCACCTTGATTCACTGTGTCTGCAGCAAGGTCTACCCTTAGGCTTTTCAATTTCAGAGACCAAAAATTTCCCTTTTCACATAAGCCAGTTTGAGCTCAGTTTCTGTCTTATACAACAAAAGAAATGATAGATCAGATAAGATATGGGCAACACTATTCTTTTGGCTGCTCCTTCAGTATCAAACCTCAGTCTGCATAAGCTTTCAGAGCTTATGGAGCCAGGCAGTTCTCCAAACTTCCCTGCCTATTTTCGTAGGGATGGGAGAAGGAATTGCACTAAGAGAGTCTGAGAGCACACCACAAACCATCCAACCTTCATCTCTGCAACCAGGCCAGCAAGGACTTCGGTTCTTCCATAAAGCTTGGAGTTCTTAACCCCAAGCATCATGTTTTCCAAGCAAAGTAACTGGAATATAAGCTTTAGAGTGTCCGTGTTGCTATTGCAACAGGAATGCCCCTGATTTGTGGCAAAATGGCAGGTGCCCACCTGTCAAAGGCCAGCAAGAGTTGAACAAATGCAATGACAGAGGGTGGTCACTACTTGCTTTGGGGATGTGCCAGGTAAGACCAGTCCTTAGAAATCAAGTTCAAAATCTAAAAAGCTGAGGTCAGCTGTCAAGTCTAAGAGTGTGAGAACAGGACCAGTAATTGAGACAAAGCCAGCAGGGAAGATTCTATGAAGGTGAAGCAAAGCAGGAACAAAATAGAGAACTAGGGGTGATGGCTGCAGTTAGGGTTGGCTGAAGGTATCTTTACCAAACAATGGAAGAGTGTGCATGGTGGAAAGTGGTGTATCAGGACAATTTGGGCTGCACATAAAAGAATACTCCCCTCAAAATGAGACTTTACCAAGAGTGGCTTCTTATCGCATATACCCATTCTGGAGATAACAGGACTCAGAATTGACTCAGCAGCTCATCAGTGTCATCAATGACTCAGGTTCCTACAATTCTTCCACTCTGCTGTGATCAGGATGTCAGCAGTGGCTCCCTCATTGACACAAAATGGCTGCCACAACTCCAAGCATTATTTCTTCACAGAGAAACACTCAAGAGTACAAAGGAGGGGATGCCTCTCACTTATCAGAAAGGAAAAGTCTTTCTTGGAAGTCCTCCCCAGCCTTCCTATTAGGTCCCTAGGAGTAGGACTGGTCACATGCCTATTCACTAGCTGCAAGGGAGCCTAGGAAGCAACTATTAGGCATTTTCACATTCTATCATGAGAGATGGCCTCACCAAGAAGGAAGAAGAAGGTAAAGGCTGTGAATGGCTGTTGAGCAGGCAATCAACAATGAACCCCAAACTTTAGACAAACGTGTACCAAGATTTTTGCCATATCTTTTTATTACTTATATTGTCATTTACTCAATATTTCTCTTAAATCAATTTATTATTTTTGACCCTAAATACCTTTACTTAAATAGGAAATTTTACATCACTACCATAAATGCAAAACCATTTCTAGATACATTGTTCCAATCTATATTCAAATAAATTCATAATGATTAAAAGAAAATTATTTGCTCCTGTTTTACTTGTAAGCATCTTTTGTCTCACTGGCAGTACTCAGACTTTGGGATAAGTGGTAGCAGGATAAACTCATTTCCTCCTAATTCTTGGGCCCTGATATTAAGGAGCCCCAGTGGTACAGTGGTTAAAGGACTCAGCTGCTAACCAAAAGGTTGGCAGTTCAAACCCACCAGCTGCTCCATGTTGACAGCAGTGGGTTTGGTTTTGGGTTTTAGGATATTAAGAACTGTCCAACATAATGAGAATAGCAGCACAACTGGAAGAATGTAATCGATGTCACTGAACTGTACATGTAGAAATTTTTGAAATGGTGTATCTTTGGCTATGTATATTTTCACCAGAAAAGGTCCTCCAAGGTCAAGAAGGGAGAGTGTTGACATATCATGGGGTTGTTAACCAATGTCATAAAACAATATGTGTACTGACTGTTTAATGAGAAACTATTGGTTCTGTAAACCTTCACCTAAAGTACAATAAAAAAAATAATTAAAAAAAAAAGAACTGTCCAACAAAGAGCTATAAAGTGTATCGTAAGACACCATCATAACCACTTTTTACAGCAGCCTAACAATCAAGGCCCTCCCCACCACTCTCTATGCCCTAGCTGTAAAGCTGAAGATACTTAGCAAAGTCATGAGGGAACTAGCTGGTTTCCTGTCCAGCCACAGTCTATCTCAAATGTTTTGTTTTACTTTCATTACAATGAAAACCATCTCAGAGGCTGTAGGAACCACCACCTGCTCAGGCCTTGGAATGAGAACATCTCTACGTATTGTCTAAGTGGACTCACACACACTTAATCGAAAGGATGCATTTGCTGTGGACAGAGAAAGGCGACCGACGCCTGTTACTTACATCAGAGGCTGGACCCTTGTCAGCTCCTGGGCAGGAGAAGGTGACAAATTCATGGCACCGCTTGTGCACAACAAAGCAGCAGACTGCAAATGAGAAAATAAGAGAGGGATGAAGGGAGAAAAAATGGAGGAGAGATCATTAGACTTGGATTTCAGAGACAAGCAAAGGTTTAATACCAAAATAAACAATGACTTCAGCTTCAACACCTTCTTCTTTACTGAAGTCAAACTCTTGGGTGAACTGAACTTGTATCTCATGCAGGGGTTAAGCTCTGAAATTAACTAGGGTTCACAAGATCCAAACCAAAACAACAACAACACTGCCGTAGAGTCAATTCTGACTTATAGTGACCCTACAGGACAGAGTAGAACTGCCCCATGGGGTTTCACAAGATCACACATGCTCAAAATGAAAAGCTTTGAAGGTCTAGTAAATTACCTGGTCCTCTGCTGGCTTGGGGCCAGAACATTTATTCTTAGATGAGATGCCAGATGAAGTAGTTATCTTGTGTTGGGGTCCATGATGTATACAAAATACATCTGTTTAACCGTTGCAACCCACTTAGAGAGAGGAGATGTTCATAATGTGAGGGGCATGTAGAACCTGGGAGTGAGCAGCAAGGGTGGACGAGTGCCTCTCATCTCTCCCATGTGCAATGTTAACTGAGTGGAAGAGTGGAAGAAACAGTCTGCAATGTTTACATTCTTACTTTAGTATTTTGTAACCAAATACATATATTTGAGTCTGTGTGTGGTTCAATGCATCTTTGGAGACCTTGGGTAGCACAGCTAAGTGCTCAGCTACTAACTGGAAGACTGGTGGTTTGAGTCTACCCAGAGGTCCTTGGAAGAAAGGCCTGGCGTTCTACTTCTGGAAGGTTATAGCCATTGAAAACACTTTGGAGCACAGTTCTACTCTGACACACATGGGGTTACCATCATTCGGAATCTACTCAACAGCAACTGGTTTGGTTTTTTGTTTTTGTTTTTTCAATGCAAGTATGATACATACGACTCTACAATTTAGGGGAGGACATTATATTATTGAAGGGAGGGCCAGTCTGAGAATATATACAAATTAAAACTAATTAATTTATTTTTGTTCAAGTCTCCTTTTATAGTTTTGTTGTTCAAATCTTCTTTTACAAACTCTAGATCGTGAGTTCTTGCAGGATGGAAGCCATGCTGTACGGACCAACTCTGAACCTTTTTAAAGCACGTGCTCAGTAAAAGAAAATAGAATAGGAAGCCTCAACGTACCCCTGGTGATAGATAGTGGATCTGTGCAACAATCATCAATGGCTGCTAAAAAAATAAAAAATGAAACCAGTTGCTGCCGAGTTGATTTCGACTCATGGTGACCCCATGTATGTCAGAGTAGAACTGTGCCCCATAGCATTTTCAATGGCTGACTCTTCAGAAGTAGATCACCAGGCCTTTCTTCCAAGTTGCTTCTCGGTGGACTTGAATCTTCAACCTTTCGGTTAGCAGCCAAGTGCAATAACCATTTGCACCAGCCAGGGACTCCCAATGGCTGTTAACATCACAAAAAAGAGATCACCAGACACTACCTGCCTACTGATAGGAGCCCACACCACCACCTATGAAGTATTCTTCCCAAAATAACCAAATCTGAATATGTTCAAGCCTCTTGATCCAATCACTAATTTACAGAAAATACAGGTGACATAGTAAAATGACACCAGAGATAGAAACAAATAGTTGTAATGGTCTCACAACATTGTGGGAATTGTACACTTAAAAAATGGGTATAATGGCAAACTTTTTGTAATATACATTTTACCACAATAAACTTATTTAAAAATAAAATAAAAATGACACCACAGAGACGCAATCAGTAAAAAATACAGAATGTGAAAACTATGAGAAAACGAACATAGTTTCTTCAACAAATAAACAAACAGCAAAAGGAGAAAAGGGGACGTGGGGGGACAGAGCAGCAACTGATATATTAAAAGAGATTTAAGAAACATACCAAATAAATGTAAAATATATGTGGACCTTATTTGGATTCTAATTTGAATAAACCAATATTTTTTTTTAAATTATGAGATAATCAGGGAAATAGATATACTCTTTGGCTTTTTGACGATATTAGGGAATTATTATAATTGATATTAGGGAATTATAATTTTTGGTATGATAATGATATTGTGATTATGCATTTTGTTTTACTTTTTAAAGACTCCTTATCTTTTAAGGATGCAACCTAAAATCTTTAAAGACAAAATTATTTAATTCAAAATAATTCAGTTCGATAGAGAGTTGCAAGGAGGCACAGTTATTATAGATGAAAAAAATATTGGCCATGAATTGATCATTAATGACCTGGGTGATAAACACATGAGAGTCCATTATACTACTCTGTCTACTTATATAGCTATGTGAAGTTTTCCATAATATAAAGAAGAAGAAAAAAAAATCCTCTTGGCTGGAAACCAAAAAGAAATTTCTTTCTTCTTGCTTTCTTTTTTTTTCTGTCTTAATATTTACTGTGTATTTTATAAATAATACGTACTTTGTATAAAGCTGTTTGTGTCAAATAGTGTGTGTGTGTGTGTGTGTGTGTCCCTCTGTGTGTATACCTATGAATGCAGAGAGAACTATATGAGCAGTGGTCAAAAAATGCTCATGATGGTTATCTCTGAGCAACAGGACTGCAAATTATTTTTACTTTCAACTCTATATATTTCTGTATTGTTTGAAATTTTTACAATGAGTATATTTTAGTTACATAACCAAGAAAAAAGTAAAACTACTTCCACTTTGAAAAACAAAAAAGAACCAAAGGAAAACAAAGGTCTTGGAAATACAAAAATATGATTGCCAAAGTTGAAGACTCAATAGTTGGGCTGATGAATAGAACAGAGCCAGCTAAGGAGGAAATTAGCAAACTGGAAGCCTAAATTGAGGAATTTTCCCAGAATTCTGCAAAAAGAGCAAGAAAGAGTGAAAGTAACATGGTGAAACATGTAGGGTAAATCCAAAAATTCTAAAATCCATCTGAAAGGATATTCAGGAAAGAACAGAGAACGGTGAGGATGTGTAATCAAAGAAAATAGAAGAAGAAAATTCCCTTAAAGATTAAGAAGAAGTTGAGTCATTAAATTGAAAGAAAGTATCAAGTTTCAGTAAGTGCGAACGAAAAAAAAGATCCATGATGAGGATATTAAGGTTTCGAGATCCTTCTGTCCAGCAGGCACAGAGTGGGAAGAGGGATGCTTATTGACAAAGGAACAAAAATGATTTTTAACATCAGATTTCTCATTAACAATTGTGAACTCTTGAATACGGTACAGCAATAACTTCAAAGTCTTTAGGAAAAATCATTTTGAACATAAAACCTCATATCCAACCAAACTAGCACTCATGTGAAAAGACAAAATAAATATATTTCTAGAACATGAGGACTTAGAAAATTTACCTCCCACAAAAGAAGTACTAGAGAGTATATACCTCAAGAGAAAAGGAGAGAGGAAGGGAGGGAGGGAGGGAAAAACGGAAGAAGGAAGAAAGAGAGGAAGAAAGGCGGGAGGGAGAAAGGGAAGAAGGCAGGAAGGAGGGAAGGAAGGAGGTAGGGGGAGGGGGAAAGGAGGGAAGGAGGAAGAACGTAAGGAAGGAGGGAGGGTAAAAGAAACAAGGGTGAAAAAAACATAAAGAGGGAGGGAGGGAAAGGGCAAAGAGAGATGATCTAAATATTATGAAGTAGAGATGAGAGGAGAGCTAGAAGATTGAAATGTGCTAAGAGTCTTGATCAAACATACTGAAAAGCTGTATATAATTATAAGACATAAGTTTAAATATGTATGTTAACAACTAAAGTTAAAAATAAGAATAGAAATCTGTGTGTATCTTTCAAACCACTAAAAGGGAAAACTGGGCAAATAAAACAAAAGCCAACTACACTTCAAAAGGCTTTCCTCATGCCCCAAGTTCATATGATTATTCTTTTTTTTTTTTAGTTTTATATGTCATCGTTCGCACTTTAAACTCTTTAATCCATCTGTATTTTCTTAGTATATGATGTGAAACAGGAATCTAACATGCCATTTTTTTTCTGAAGAGGTAACCAATTCTCCCAGAATCCTTTATTGAATAATTCATCCCTTCCCCACAGAATTCAATGCCAACTTTCTTATATGCTAAATAATTATATACACTGGGGTCTATCTTTGGGCTTTCTGTTCTGTTCCATGATCTGTCTATCTATTCTTGTAGTACAGCAATATGTGATTTAATTATAGTAGCTTTATAATATGTTGTATCTTGGCAGGGCAAGTCCTCCCTCGTTATCCTTCTTTTCAATATTTTCTTGGCTATTGCTGCACGTTTATTCTTTCAAATGAACTTTAGAATCAGTTTACCAAGATTTTTTTAAACACAAATGGAATTTTTATTGGAAACATGTTTGAAATTTTATTGGAATTGTCGATCCTCCTCAAAAAAAAATTTATTGGGACTTTGAAATTGTCTTAATTTTATAATTAAGTTCAATTGGCACCTTTACAATGGTGTTCCCACTAAGAATGGGGTATCTCCTTGTTAAAATCTTATTTTACGTCCCCCAGTAAAGCCTTTAATTTTCTCTATACTGGTCCTGTACACTTCTCAGTTAGTACAATTTGAAGAATCTTTCTGTTGTGCTACTGTGATTTTGATATTTTTTCCATTTTGTTTTCCAACTGGTTATTGTTTATAATTGAAAAGCAACAGATTTTTAGTATATTTATTTTGTAAGCAGTTATTTTGTTGAACTGGTAATAGTTTGGGCATGTTTTCAGTTGCTTCTCTTGCGATTTTTATAAAGAGAATGATATCTCAAATAATAATATTTTTCTGCTCACCTTTCTGATAGACATACTGACTTTTCCCTTTATCATATTTCAACATTTAGAATTTTTAGGACATAAAATAAAACAGATGATAGCAGATGGTCTTGTCTCATTCCTAAGCTTTCACCAGCTTCACCTCTCAAGTTTCCCACCTCTTCTTGAAGTAATTTTTGAATGTTTATTTTCCTTGGGAATTGCCCATAGTATTCTCCTCAGTGTGTTTAAATATTA